GGAGATGGGCGGTTCTAACCCAATTGAGTTTATTGGCTAGCGCTTAACTACTTCATCTCCGGGTCACTGACTGCACATCACTCTGTCACTTCTACTCAGCACAGGACTGGAAGAAACGAACTCTGGCATCCTGGCAGACGTCTTACGGAGGATTCGGCGCACCTTCTCCCGTATAAATACTCTATGGGACCTACGTCAGCCCTCTCTTTGGATATGCCAACCAAGTTGTCATATCAGGACGCCCACGCAAGAAAGACGTGGCCAGCGAGCTGATACGAAAATGGTTGTCGGCTTTAAATCCGTGGACTACGGAACGCGTTACGCGATGCTTGACCTCTTTCCCCTGGAGTGTCGTCGCCTCCGATGGGAACTAATTTTTACTTATGCCCTGTTTGAACAAAGCTTGGCTAACAGGTTTTTCACCGTTGACCCAGCAAACACACGGCAGGGATATAGTAAGAAGATTTTCAAGCTCAGGGCGCACAATTTCATTAGGCAAAATTTTCTCTCATTTCGGGTAGTAGCTGCGTGGAATAACCTTCCTACGATGGTTGCCAACGCTCATTGTGGAACCCAGTTCAAAGCACTAGTAAACACTTATGCGAGTCCTCGCGCTGGCAAGCATACTTCCACTCGCTGAGGACTAAAAAAGCAGTGATACATCCTTTCTCACTTGTGCCTTTCAGTTGAACGACGGCCGCTGAATGACAAAAACAAAACCTACCCGGGAAACTTGGGCGAAAGCTTCGATCCTGTGCATCAATAGGGAATCCATGAAACCTATCGACGGATGAGCTATAGCTCACCCAAAGGAGTTTTCTCCTTAAAACTTTGTGGCGGATATCACTATAGTGCAAAATTTCCACCAGATACGACCAGTGAATATTTGTAAGATACTTATAGGATTTATTAACTAATTGCGCTTACGTTTCCGCTCTCTTTGAGGTCGTCATGCTACCCGACAAGTTAGGTATGGCAAACATACAGTAGGCGAGGACATCTTCAAATAAATGGTGGCTGGGGGCAGATGAGCTAACGAGGAAAGGTCTGCACTGGTGGGAAAATTATATGCTGTATACAGTAATATAATCCGCACAATGGCCTACAAATTCCATTTGGCCGTCACTCTTACAGCAGTTGCTACTTTTTGCATGGACGCAAGTGAAGTTTTGTAAGTAAAGAACATAGTAAATTTATATCTTGGAAACCGTTTAGTTCCCCAATAGCTCGACATCGAAATTCGAGGTTAATGCCAACCTAGTTCTGCAATAATCGTCACAATACCCAAACTTTACTACAACCTGATTGGTGGATTTCATGAGCCCATAAGGCAACATGGATGGGCTCATGAATTCAAGAATGGATAAACAAGATCGGGGATTTCGCCCAAACTTTCCGGTTCGGGTGTGTTCATGTCGTTCGCTGGCCCCTGTGCACATGAAAGACACAAGTGAAAAAAGGGCACTACTCTTTGATTTGTCAGCGCCGGTCAGTAAGCTTCCCAGCGAGGTGACTCACACAGAAGCATTCTAAGGTGCTTTAAACTGGCTTCTGGATGCAGCTTGGTTAAAGACCGGAGGAAATTTATTTCACCACTACTCTTTGTCAGCGCCGGTCAGTAAGCTTCCCAGCGAGGTGACTCACACAGAAGCATTCTAAGGTGCTTTAAACTGGCTTCTGGATTGGATGCGGTTAAAGACCGGAGGAAATTTATTTCACGCGCCAAATTTCTGAAATAATAGAAATTGTTTTCTGATAAACATGCGCTCTGCGTGCTTGGAGGTTTTCTCACCAAATCCCCACCGTGTACTAGCGGTGTTAACGCGGAAAAAATTATTGGTCAAACCTTGTTCAAACAGGGCATAAGTAAGTATTAGGTTCCCTCGAAGTCCCCGATACTCTGGGTGGAAAAGTTCACACGCTGGGAGAAGCGTTTTGTGATCAAGGAATTCGAGGCTAGCGACCATCTTCTTAGCAGCGCTTGGGCCAAGCTCGTTGAGGGCTGAGGCCTTCCTGCCTCCTGAGCATACAGGTTGAAAACCCATTCGAGTTATAATGGGAAACGTGCGCCAATTAATCTGCAGAACGACGAGTAGCCTCGGCGCCGATTAGCCATGGTAGAGCGAAAGGGATATGACTGACGAGAGTCAGATCTCTAAATCAGTTTTCAGTATGCCTCTTCTTAATGCCTTTTTGTTCCCTCTTTCAGAGAAAGGTGCGCTGGCGTTGGAATTACAAAAGTTCAGGTCGTCCGCAAAACGTGGACATGGACCTAAAAAAACTCTAAGGCCGGTGGCGCAGAGCAGAATAGGACCGGTGTAAAAGAAGAGCACGTTTAACCGACTTTAACCAGTAATGTTTCATCCGATGGGGAGGTTTTAATCCAGTGCGGAATTCCTCTCTCCGTCCCAAAAACCTCATGTTTGTGGAACGGAGGAATGGTTTCGAGGAGTCCAAAAATATGAAATTTGATATTTTTTTCGTCTCTACCCTGCGTTAAGTTGTCCACAACTACGAACATGTTCGACAGGTGAGAGCTTGTAACTGTAACATTGGACGTCGCTGGTGTGGGAATCGGCGAAGAAGACATTATTGGTTCTATAGTGAATGAGGATGCAGACGTCCTGCACAGTTTCTTTTGTCCAGGAAGAACAAATTTAGCCGCAGGATTTTGCCAAGGATATTCTGCACCTATAGCCCAACCACTTCCGGAAAAATAAACGTCCTGCTTCCGTCAAATTGGCCGTTAAATGCTGGATTCTTTTATCATCAGACGAACAAGTGTGAGACCCAGCGCACGAGCCCAGTTTCGAAGAAGTTCTGCGGAAAGGGCTAGCAAATCTAATCACACTCTTAGGGGAAGGCGAGATAATCACACGAGCAGAAGGACAGGAAGTAATTCAGGCACACAACTCTGTGATGAGTAACCATTGGGAGACCTGGGGTATCGTCCTTCGTAGCCAGATGAGAGTGAGAAGGGGCGCTTTTAGGATTTCGTGGAAGAAGGCTGGTTGTGACTCGAAAGTCTTGAAGACAATAGCTTATTGCAATGTGGCGCTAGCCGTAACATCAGCCAGGTAGGGGGTAGAGTGCTTCATTGTGAATGCATGCTGGACACCAGAAAAATAAAAAAAGGGATTGCACTTGATCACAAACACGTACATATTAAGAATCGAAGAAAGTGCCCCAGTGAAATTTTTAATCAACAGCCGGTGTGGGGTCAGACAGAAAGCGCTCAAGTGAGTAAGGTGTAGAAAGCGGAGGAATCCGTGTTTAATTGTAAGCGAGTAATCGACCAGATTTTGTCCAGCACCTTTGGTAGACGGCGAGATCGAGAGAAGAGTGGTTATGCACATCACCGTCGGCGTGGATGATCGTTTTTCACCATGGCCAGGAGGATATAAGAGGCTAAACAAACAGATATAAGTGCGGGAAAGCTAGCGAATCAGCGCTTTTTTAGATTTCCAGCTGGATGTACTCCTGTTCGGAGGAAGCACCGGATTCGTTGGGTTAGGTATAATTTTCGGATAAGTAATGCAATCGTTCTGGAGTCATCGTAATCTATGTTACGGGTATCCTTGTCGCACTGGCGTTCAATAGAAAATAAAGATACGGGCAACAAGATGAACCACATATAGTGGCGAATGGACGAGGGAGCCTTCCGTGCTCCTTGGGAGGGAGATAGAGCGCGTTTGATTATTCTTAGGAATCTGATGCATCGGGAAGTAGTTTAAAAGACGCCAATAAGCGAGACTGTAGCAATGACTCGTTTGACTTCCATTAGCATTTCATTGTAGGGACACAATATTGGAGATAATAAGTGGGCTGGGCCACTATGATGCCAGCGTCTGGTGTAGTGTGCTGACATACTGTGCTTTCTGTTGAATAGTCCCAGGGTGGTTTATTGGAGATTTTTTCTCTTCTCTGGGGGCGAAGGGAATGTTGAAAGGAATTCTTATGTTTCGGTGATACAGAACGTCATTTGGTTGCTCAAATCATTTGAGAGTCTATGCTCCTGGGCATTTTGTGGTGACGGCGGTAGTACGAGAGGCACAGGCTATTTTTTGCAAGGGCAGGGAGACAACGTTGCAAGAGGTTGCAAGAATGGTGCGGTGTGGTCGCCTTCGCACAGGAACGAATGAATGGTATGTTTTCTTGCCATGCCACGCCCGTTGACTGAGACGAGGTTCAAGGTTATTAAATGCCTGCATACACATTATCTCCTGAAGTGGATGGGTGTTTATGCCACCAATGTTAAGTCGTTGTATCTGAGAGGACGCAGGAGGGAGTGGAACTAGAGGTCTCAGAGTCTGGCTCCAGGTACTTATGGACAGCTGCAGTCTCATAGTTTTAAGAGATTGGAATGGTTTGGTTCCCGTAGCAACTGGCGGCGATTGAAGAAGCAAACTTGCCGTCGCCCTGCGTAGATATAGATCATAGCGGCCATGGTTAGCCAGAAAAATTAAACGCAAAGACCAGCCTGGATCGGAAGCGGGAACGCAAACACCGCTACTCCTGCCATGGGGGAGCCCAGACTGTCGAATGTGTATATTTAAGTCTATTTCAATATCGTTGATTTTAAGGAGCAGACCAAGTTCCTCTAACAAGTAGGCGTCATGGTGGAACCTGAGTTACAACTCACCGAGTTTGCTTAGTTTTTGGGGGCTGGCGAATTTGGTGTACACCGACCGCAGAAGCACTCCACCAGTAAACCACTTTTTCGTCGATAAAATTATGGATGCTGAGAAAGGAATGGCGTATAGGGGCTTCTAATTAATAATGTTGGGTGGTCAGGATGTTCCAGTGTTCGGCGGGCGAAGAAGGCAGGTGAATAGGAATAAATCTGTTGTGGGCGCGTGCACAACATGTCCGAATAACAGAAAAACCAGGCGATCGATTACAATATATCCTTCTTGAAACCGGTTATGGTTGCTCGCTCACTATTACTGACCTTACTGCTTCTGCAAGGGATTTGCGCCGTGATATGATTGCATTGAAAAATGTTCCGTTGCTTCTGGACCCCCACGCATCCAAGATACTTCATATTCGTGGAATACGTTTGCGGACGCTTTTGCCAACAGGCACATAGTACATCAGCCAACCAAGAGCGGACCCACCGAGCTGTGTGCATCGCTGTTCAGGTAACCAGAGGCGGAATTATTCAGCGTTTATTGGACACGGCAAGTCGCGGAAACAGCTGCACACATGAAACAGTGGCCAAACTTTGGAAGCTGAACGCGACTAAAAACAAGCGCTTCTGCTCCGAAACGCGTGAATGGCGGCTAGGTCACGCAACGTTGTCAGCGGATTGGAGTTTGTACAGGCCGGTTAGTGTTGAAAAGGTTGCATGATGGTGCACTTGGTGAAGGATGCTTCTCCAGGTTCGAATAAATCCACACCCAGAATATTCCGAAGAATAAGCGCCAGCTCCAGTGCCGAGTATTTCAGGTTGCTGTCGTTATATGGTCCTTGTCTGGCGTATCCAATTTGTGTTTGTGATACCCAATTCTTGTAGGATTCAAGGTGAAATTTCGATTTTAGTAATCTCCTTATCAGATATAACGTTCTGAGTGAAAATGGGGTCGACCTGCCATTCTTCTGTACCGGTCTCCATTTGCTTACGGACGCCCTAATCAGCTCCACCCAACCCAGTCAAATACATGAAGGATTCGTTATTCAAGTCTGAATTTCCTAATCCTAATATAGCAGAGAGGACGTATGAGAAAGGAACCCTCTATATAGTGCTAACATCACTGAAGATGGTCACTAACCTCAAATAAGGCAACGTGTTATCGGGGTTTCAGCCCTTCAATATGGGTTTAGGGATGTCACAGATGGTGGTGATGATGTAAAGCACTCTTGATGTAGGAGCTGCGTCAACCGATTTCCTTGCATATTATGCGGTCCCGTTGTGCTTCTCACAAAGGCAGGTTACAAAAAAACCTGGAAGAGGCGCGCCTTCTGGGATAAGCCATATTCCAAGTTTCGATGGCAACAAATTTAATGTCTTCCATCAATCCTCATCTAACCACTCTTTTAGAGCACCGTAAATCATGGTAGGCGTAAGGATTACTTTGGATGGGCAAGGCATGATCGTAAGAATTGATAACGACAGAAGCACAGTGTTAAGACTGGCCCTTTGCCATCGGTTGTGGTGCTGAATTTTGTGTTTTGCGGGCCAGTGATGGGTTTGCGATAGTGCCGAAATTGATGGGTTGCCTAGAAGTCAGGCAATGAAGCTAGTGATAGTGTTATTATCATTGCTATGATTTTTATTGGTTGCTCATTCTTACCACCGATTCCTTGTCGTAAATTTGTAAGTCTGCGCCTAGTCTGCCTTGGAAAACAGACAGCCTTTCGTCCTTATTGGTCGCTTAGCTTTAAACACTGTTTCCCCACCAGGCACTGAATCATGTTAGTGATCACTGTTTGACTGAAAGTTATCGCTAACAAGGCCGTGGTAGAACGTTTCCCTCCTTTTCCAGCGTTCCTCCGTTCAAACTCACACATCCGTTGTCAGTATTTTCTATTATTTTGACCATGGCGCTTAAAGAACTGAAAGATACCAGCATTTTGTGTGACGTTAAGCGGACACACCCAATACACCGGAGTTACAGAAGCTGAAGCGAAGCCCCTAAAAGGTATGGGACCACACTTAAATCTACCCAGACAACCACCATGACTTTTTGTTACCAGTGTTAGTCAGCAATGTATCTGGTCGAGAATTTTCAACCAAAAGATATTACGCCTACTGTTTGCAGGATTTCGGTTCATGGGCGTGGATATTTTGACAGATGCACTCTCACTCGGCTTCTGTGAGTGCAAATCGGAATATTGACACAATCGGTAAACAAGGCAGATTTGAGCAACTTTGCATTATCAGAACTTTGGATGGCTACTTTGCGATGTGTCCAGCGAGCGAATTATTAGCCCGCATTGTTTACTTGTCCTCAAGGTTTTACAGAAACAGGGACATGCCTTGGTGTCAGGACGGTCTAAAGCCTAATACTTCTCACTAGGACTCCGGGATTATAAATGTAGATAGATATGCAGCACAAACCACATTCTTCTCTAATACTGTATGTAATGTGGGCACACGGGTCATTTTTGGTTAATCTCAGGTGCGTCCCTCATCCCCATTGCATCAGTAACGTCTGCACACTAAAGCGGCACTTAACGATCGCTGGTTTAAACGCCCTGCTAATTGCATCACCCGATTATGGAACCTGTCAAAAACACAACGTTGAAGTTTGGGTGCAAATATATGGACGGTTCTAAGGGAAATTTGCAGGCTCCACGAATTGTGCGCATCACATAATGTGCTCAGGAACTATTAACCAAGCGTTATAGGCTTTGATTGGGAAGATGACCACAACTACTTGGCAACTTTTTTGGTTTACGTGAGACTTGGAGCTATAGGGTTCTAGGTCTGTCACCCCCTCAGATTACATATATGTCGTCTTTTGGAATAAAATATTATGCATATGCAGATCGTTGCCTGTCGATTCCCTGCAACGATAATCACGGGTGGATGGTTGACGAGTAAGCCAACTACTCGTAGGAAGCTTTTCGTGTGGCGCGCCTATGGTTATCGGGGTAATTAGTGCATTAGGTGAGCCACTTTTCGATTTCCTTTAAGTTGCTAATGTTTATGTGCACCGATCACCCAAATGAGCGCAAAACCCAGCAAACATATTGACACGTATGTTGCATTTACCTTGCATTTACGTGGATTATTGATTCACGAGCCCACGGAACGATGTACATGATTGAAGTTTTCGCCAAAATGCCTTGGGTGGGGTTTGTTCGTGTCTTTCGCTATCGGCCCACTGCGTTGCATTGTGAAGCGACGCCACTAGATGGGATAGCCTTGTGCCGAAGGCAACTTTCAATGAGAAAGAAATTCAGTAAAACACTGATTAGGCGTTCATCCATGGTCCATTTTATACAGAAACAACAAACTACGACAACTTACTGCATACTCGAGCTGTGCAGACTTAGGGGGCAAGTTCGTCCATGTGGAGGACACTAACCTAGTGTCAGTTAACCAACGCCATAGCCAGCTTTTTTCTATTGTGGAAATATGGGTCGTGCTAAGGACTTACCTCGCATCTCGGTTCAGATCAGAGTAGTTTAAGGTTTGGCGGATAAATACAATCCCAAATGTACTTAACCGAGCGTTCTGGGATTTTGCCGAGTTTTCTTTACGAGCATCCATATATGTATGCAGAATTCTATACCGCTGATAATGTTATCAAAAATTTCCCAGAAGACCAGCAATCTTCTGCAGAACCGGAGCATTTTTACAGAGTTTGTTAGTGTGCTCGGAGACTCCAGGTTAGGTTGAATGTGGGAGTCATACACACAGTGTAAAATTATCTTCTGAAAATGTTACAAGCTAAAAAAGAAGTTGTATTTGAATGATGTTATGTCTGGGGTGCAAAGAAGTGGAAATATGATGCCTTTGGGAAAACACTTTTGATCATAGGGGTGCGGCTAATTTGTGGGATCTCACCCTCGCCACGAAAAGTGTGTAGCCTCAAACTTTAGCCTAAATCTTCCTGAGACATAATGCTATCGCACTAGGGCAAGTGAATTACTGCTTGCGGTCGAAAAGTTTGGCTACCGCCTAATGAATTCGGACCAAGTTTGTCACACATTTCTGCAGTGATAAGCTAGTTTCATCCTCCAGCATAATAAACGGAAACAGCGCAAAGCCACAGGCAACGCACGGATTGCTGTCTGCGTCACTGATGCAATCCGGGCAAACATGCTCAAGTTAGCAGCCAAAGCTGTACGCACTACTTGTCAAAACTTGTCTTCACCTTGCAGGTTTTTGTTGAAATTTCGGTAATTTTTTTATTTATAGGCTGCTACTTCAGTGCAGTCGTTCTTTGCACGAAAGAGTGATTCTCTTCTAGTGCTGGTTGCAAGTGCAGACAAAAAACCACCGTTGCGGAGGTCTTGAAGCATGTCAATCGTAAATCTGTAAATTTGATGAAAAAACACTTTTCTCTCCAACGCCCGTTAACCCATCGCTACGCACCACTACAACCCATCGCCACGCACCACTACGCTACCTAACAACGCACTGATGATGTCACATCATTTGGTGGTGAAACGTTTACAATCAACAACCATTTACGCAGAGCTTTAGCAATCAGGTTCACACCGCCGGATTACCTTCGTTTTGGGAGGCAAAATATTTACGCCATACAGTTGACGTGGCCATTAGGGCTGGAGATGTTCCCGCTTTCAACGAGACGGGTCGTCATGCTCATGAATATTTGAATAAATGCAGCTACGTACAACTAACGACGCTATGAGAACAGGAAGTACATCAGACGCTATTACCACCCCTGGCAAAATATCGCACAGATATATTGTAAACTACTTGGGTCTTTCAAGTAGCTTAACAAATAAATCAAGCTGCTCAATTGCGTATCCTCATAAGTAAAGATGAGTACCACAGGTTTTCTCAATTTATCGGACACACACCGGCGTCTTGTAGAGAGAAAAGTAATCGCTAGGAAGCGGCGCGAATGCATTTGCTTTTACCTCGTTTAGAGGTTTTCAGGGTAATAGGGAGAGTGGGAGCATAAATCTGTTGTACGTGTGAGTTATTGTCCTTGCCTTGATACAGTTTTAGATGCGGTGCTGATCAGAGCCAATGTACCTGAGGGTATCACATACTCCATTGCATTTAATCTTCTCCGGCACTCACGATTTTCAACTGTGATATATCCGTCGCGTTGTAACCTGCCAATAACCTCTCGGCAGTGCAAAATTAATAGGTTGCTCAAATGTCTTCATCTTAGTCACATTATGCTCAGCTTTATGTTGTTTGTAGCTCTCCCAGAGAGCGGTACACCTATAGTGCGACACTGGCTAGTGTGCACTTGCTTCTGCTCAACGATCTCCGGTTCTGGCTGATGGAGTCCAGTGGGTGTGATCGCATTCGGAGATGACTTCGCAGTTCAGGACAATTTACTTGAAGCCTTGCTCACATCAACGGACTTGACCCCACGTGTGCAGCATCAAGCTTGTTGGTGTTTTACACCCTTGGCCAAGCCCAGTAGATGCCTCAAAAATCGTTTAGATGTAGTTTTTAAGTAATGCCATCAGTTGTTACTCAGGTTTCATGGATAGTAAAAGAATTCGCTAAAATTGCAGCCACGACCGGCCAAAAAGCCCCAGTAAGGCGAATATCCGTAGATTTGGGTCCATTTTTACGTTTGTTCTCATCTCCTTGTAGAAAAAATAAAACAGAATAACCTTGCTCCATTAACTGTATATGTAAATATATAAGGCAGCATGCAAACTAACAAAGGCATATTGTTGATGTTATCGCCTGTATCCATAGGGTTATAAAGGGGAAGATTGGGATCTGGAGCATCTCATTTAATGGACAGGAGTGATGGTAGCTAGCGTGCAGGTATCAGCAATATTACCGTGAAGCAGACACATGTACGGAATGGCTGTGTATGTACTTGACGATACTCGAACAGTTCTGAAGTGGATACCGAGGAGCGACAGCAAATTACCGAAATTTAATCGAACCTGGAAAACCGTTGATAAGATTTATTATGAACTTTGTCCATGATCGTTTACTTGTGTGTGCACTTTAACTATAGTTGCATGACAAGCATAAAATTTCTGGGTGTCCTAATTGAGCAAAGTTCCTCGAATTTCGGTAACTTGGTTCCCAAAATTTAGCTGTTAGTTTTCTTAGGGAGCTTTGGGACAGTGTTTGCATAATTCAGGGCACATACCACAAGTTCACAGTGAAGCCGAATACTGGAAACGCATCCGCATAATAGGTGAGCGTATTTTCTTTGTAAATCCAGGCCTAAGCAGGCGGTTGTGCGGTAGGATCAATTCAGAACTGATCGTATCATTGCAGTGCGACTCAAATTATTCAGATTTTCTGTAAATTAAAGTACTGATGAAGGGGAAGCTCAACAACAAGTGTATCGTCTTACGGCATCTGAGTTAATTTCGGATTAAAGTTAGAGGAATAACGTACAGAAGGTACAGATTTGTCAGATAGGCGTTTAAAATTAGTGAAGCTGACGGCTAAGGTGATGCATTGTGTGTCAACAAAGAGGCTTATAGTCAGCGAACATAATTACGCCCATAGATCGGACAGCGCAAGAGCAGAATCCTGCGGTCCGAATCAGGCTCATGGGCTCCGTCCCTGCTTCACACTTGAGCTAGCTAAGTCTGTTTCTCTGTGTGCCTTTGAACACAGTAACCTAATATGCATGAATGCATGTTTTTCAAACGAACTTTACATCATTTCGACTTTTACCGCGAAAACTAGGAAAAGCTAAACCTGAGTGGCCTATTGATTTGTCACTCCCCCAACCCGATTGAGGCTTCGGTCTTGCTGATAGCATGACTATTCTGATTGGGTCAATCTGTGGGCAGAGTTTTCATCTACCATCTGCCGTCTCTCTAGACTATGAAGAATACTGAACTCTTCGTAATGTGTGGCTATTCAATTCCAACACAGTAATCCTGGACAAATCCATGCTTCAAACTAGTTGCTGGTTCTTATTATCTAAAGAATAAGTGCCTCCTACCTCGTTACTAAACCAATTGAGGCCAAATTCGTCTGCCCTCTTAAAACCTACCAACAAGTTCAGACATTTTGTGGATCCAAAGAAGAATGTATCATTGTTCCATAACGATGAACGCGGCCCGAATCGATGCAAAATTCCAACTCTGAAGGGATCGGAACTGATGAAGAAACTCAACCAACAATAACAAAACACGTCCGCAGTTTCGTAACAACCTTCGCTCCACTGTCTCTGGCGGGACAACAGATGCAACCCTTTCCGGCGAACCATTTTGCTCGCACAGTGGCTACTATAGTTGTGGGCTGATGTTCTCCCATATTTTCTTCCCCGAAGTCGATGTTGGGAACAAAAAATAGGCTGATTCAGGAGGGTCTCCTAGATTTTCTAGTAAGTGAATATGAATGTCATTCCTGGGACGACGGTAGCAAACAAACCTTGTTATCCATGTTGAATCTATCCGGCGAATACACGACAGGTTCACGTGGAACTTAAATGAAATAGCATGCTTTGTGACGCGCATTTCTACTTGAAAGGGATGAAAGGAGTAAAATAGATTACTTTGCTGTGCTACCAGTCCGTAGAAGCAGGTTGCCCACGGAGCAGCTCCAAGTACTGTACATGTTACGCTTGAAAACAAACTTGTGGGTTGCGTGGTCAACTTCCGGATGGCTACTGGCTGACAACGATCTGGATAGTTTTACTCGCAGATGTTTCAGGACTGCAGGTTACACCACTCGACGAGTGAGCAGTCTTAGTCGAATTTGGTATAATTTTAGTCGACCTAGGCTTCCTCCAGCCAAAGTGTATTCACGTATCCTGTATGATAAACACTTCGTCCCAAGACCGACATGCAATACTCAGTTTAACCAGGCAAATTTCAAACTAAAACTGGTGGTATAGTTTAGAAGTCTGTCCTTCAAATGGATTCTGATGACGGAGCCTGGGCCAAAATTTAAACTCAGACCAGCAGCGACACGTCTTCTCAACGCTATGTCGGGACTTTTGAGTGAAGTGCTCCTCAATCAAACCGTCGTCCAATGTGAGGTTTATGTAAGCAGATTTTGTTCTAGAGAATATACTGTTCGACTATGTTCTGTAGACTGAAGTGTACTATGTTGGGACTTCTGAGTGAAGTGCTCCTCAACCAAACCGTCGCCCAATGTGAGGTTTATATAAGCAGATTTTGTTCGACTATGTTCTGTAGACTGAAGTGTTTGTTATGAATGGCAAGCAATATGATAGTTACAAAATACGCAATGAATTTTAAACTCTTTCCACATGTATTCAAAGGACGATACCCTCGTTTTTGTTTTACCAAGTCGCTTGAATAAGTATTTTTTGTAGCGAAGCTGGAAAATTGAATAGTTTCACCAGCCCATGTTGACCATCTGTGAACTCCTCGTCATTTACCGTCAGCATTCTTCAGCCCAGCTTGGTGTATCGCTTGGCTGAGTCCGACTCCACCGTAAGTTGAGTTTGTTTTCGGTCAATCTTATCGTCACAAACTGAGTGCCACTTGATCAAAATCATCACACAGGTACTAGGCCGATCAGCTCGCTGAGCTTTGAGGTTTACTCATAGAGAAAAATTGAAGGAGCTGATTTCAAATCCGTTTTAGGTCTATGCATAAGTGAAAATGAACGCACAAGGCAGAAACAGTTCTTTCGAATCCAAGCTTAGAGTATCAGTGTGTTTATCGCCAACTTAGGTCAGGTCACCGAGATTAGCTCCTCCATCGTTCTATAAACAGATAACCAATTTCGAGCCAACGGAACTATGTTGAAACTTCGGTTTTCAAGCTATTCGAGGAAGTGAAATGAGCGTTTTGGATCGTGTTGATGATTCCATTCCGTTTGGTTTCCACAGACCTAAAAGTCACTGACCAACAGGAAGGTCTGAGAGTTAGACAAGGTCTATGCATTTATGGAGGTAACATGACTGAAATTGGATTAATTACTCAAAAGACTTTTCTTCAGTGTCATCTGCGTGCTTCAGACTGCAGAATGCGTTTATTATATGGGGGCGAGATGGCTCAAGTGGTTAGAGCGCGACTTTACTGACCGGCAGGTCCGGAAGGTTCGAACCCGACCTCTCGACTTCCCTTGTTAGGCTTGGGCAACCTGTCAATATCCCAGCCCTTCAGGTTTCCTTCAGGTAACATGGCGGCTCGGCACCGAAAAGGTGTTACAGCTGAATGATTTTTTTAAAATATTTTTTTAATTGATTATATGGCAGGACTAACTTTTCAAGTTGTTACTACAACAGACAAAATTATCTCCAACACGAAAGAGGATCGATCCGGGGCGACGATATATTAGACAAAAGTAACTGTAAAACCGTTTTAAGCGAAGGTCAAATGCTCCCAAGTTCTTAGAGACTAATCCAGGATAACTGGGTAAGCCATGTCGTGAAAAACCACCTAAGCCGTGCGACTAAACATTTTTTCTAATGACAAGTAGTCCTCGAAAATGT